TATTTATCTACATGTTCTTTCACGCTATAGTTTTGCTGCTCTAAATCAGCTGTCTTTAATCTGAAGGACTAAAAATGGTCCACTTGTACTCTTAGGTGAAGCTGTAGTAAAAATGTTAGACTGATAACACATGTGACTTTTTGCTTAGACTTGCTCAAAATTTTTGTTAAATTTTAGCAGTTTTTGTTGAATAATTTTGCACATATGACTTATATTTACATCAAATGAGACTCCTCATTGTAGGTTTTAAAGATATATCAGTGTACCAAACTTGAAAAAAAATCTATAAAAGTTAAGAGTGTTATTCTATCAAGTAAAGTTTCCATGTGCCTTGATTAATTTATCATTTTCATATTTGATTGTTCATTTTTTGTTTAAATATTTATTCATTTATTTTGCTAATTATTTAGGTTTATGCAAAGAATGAAGAGTTAAAATACAGCTTCGTTACAAGCGCATTTGGATTTGATTGATCCAAATATGTTAGAAACAGTTATTACTAACTTTAACAAAAATGCTATTGTAATACAAGTGTTGAAGATGTTGGTGGCTATTTTGATTTGCAATTTTGATGATCAAAGAGTTAAAAATACAGCTTTATAACAAGTGTATTTGGATTCAGCAGACCCAAGTTATGTTAAAAATAGTTGTTATAGATTTTGAACAGAAAATTGGACTTTTTGGACTCTTATAGATTGTTGATTCTCAATTTCCCAACTAGTTTGAGCTCCTATGAAGGTTATGATGTATAAGTTAAATTGTAGAAAAAGTACATATTATTATGGTACTTACTATTTATCATTCAGTTGTTTAGGGAAAGAAGTCAACCTATTGTTTGTCGACATGAAAGTAATGAAAAAGCTGTACTTGTTGATGTTGTTGATGGAGACCAGGTCTCAGTTTTGTCTAAAGCACTCACAGAGTCGAGCTCTTCAGAAGAAGAAGTGGACAATGAAAGTGAAATGACTATAATAAAAAAGCAACATACGAGACCTAAGAGAATGGCAAGTCAAAAGTCACATGGTATGCCTTTTTGATATTCTGAAGCCTTTTCATATTATGTATTTTTTAATATTCATTTGAACATACAGCTTAATTTTTTGTGAATAGAATAGAAAAACAGTATATTCTGTAGATGAAGAAAAATTAATCTATATCTACAAGAGCAATGGAAAATTCCTTCAGATCTGACTTTGAAGAAGATACATTTGCTAAGAACTGAGGAAATAGAAACATGTTCATTTAAAAATGTGAATCTGTTCCTTTCATAACTTGATTTTCATGCTCTTGATATGGAAGAATAAATCGATTATTTGAGTTGAAATATTCTGTCTAAATTAAATCAAAAACAAACATGGAGACTACCAAAAAATATATGTTGTTATTTGATAAGTTTATTTTTTTATGGAATAATCTAATTCTATTCAATTTTTCCTTAAGACATACAGCTACAGATTGATACATGTTCACTCGTTTAAAAAAGTATTTCACAAAAAACTGAGTTATATATATGTGTGTGTGTGTGGCTCCTACTACATAATATTTTCATGCATATGCAATAATTAACAATGCAAAGTAGATTAATTTTCAGGATTTATTTTGAGGCACTCTCATATTTAAAAACCTAAGAAGCTATCCCTTAGCTGTGAAACACAAATTACTTATCATTGTTTAAGTAGTTATATAAATATTATGAATATTTTTATATATATGTTATCATTGATTCATAAAACATGATTTTCTGATAAGCAAGTAAATGGTGAAGTATCACTATCATCATTTCACTGTATAGAATTTTCTTTAGGATAAAAGTGATGCCTATATATTCATTGCATATAAATGGTGGTATATTGTAAGGCTACATATGTGTTGCCAAGCAACAACTACTGTTTAAAGTGTGGAGAGCCATCACTAAGCTTGTAAGTTATAAACCATGTTAATATTATAGTTTTAAATGCTAAAAGCCCATGAAGCAAAAAAAACAATGTGCCTAATAATAGGGATAGAATTCATACTAGACTTAAATGTGTTTTTTACATTCCTCTAAATTATTCCATCATGGGTTTCATAATAGAGGTGTGTTAAATAGCATTTTAAATCTATTTTATGTTTCCACATTTCAATGTCTAGAAGGTCTTTCATTCAATACCAGTACTTATCAGTTCAGCTGGACATGTTGTCTGTAAAAGTCTGTTCCAAATGCTGTTTTATATGTAGTACAAAAAACTTTTGTGATACAGCTTTCAATGCCAAAAGCCAGGAGAAACTAATAGTGATAAAAAGCATACAAGACTACACATTAGTTTTTCTACATTCCTCTTACTCAATCCATTGAGAATTTGAGGTTAGAGGCAAATGTGATGTGTTGCAGATGAAAATAAATTTAACACAATACAGAAATGAACAATTGTAGTATAGTATACTATATAATGCATCAAATTAATCTATATGCTGTATTGAGTTAATTTGATGCATTATGTAGTTTTAGCAAAACAGCAAGTAAACATCCTTTGAATCTCAAAAGAAATTATTTACAGTAGCAATGTAAATCATGACTTTCCTTTTTTTGCCTGATTCAATTCTGTTTTTTTTTACATTAGTCTTGTAAATTCACACATTTACATTTGCGTAATCTTTATATTTATATTAATAGAAGCTGTGAGATAACTATAAAAGTTCCATTTCAGCATATAAATATACAAGACTGTAGTCATACAAGAAACTTTTCTGTAAAAATATAGCTTCCATGTCATTATTGTAAAGTTTCACTATAGGCAAAAAATTTATATATTTGGTTTGATTATGTAACTGAACAATAATCTCAACATTTTGTAAACATTAATTTTATATAAAACATATTAATATTGAAACTTCAGATTAAAATGCTGTTTAATGTAGTAAGAATATTGAATTTTGAAAGTTCAGATAACTGTTTACAGAAGCTTATTCTTTAGCAACAAGCAGGTACAACAGATCTTTTGATATCCTGGATTTTCATAGTTATTTGTCTTTACTGAAATGAATGACAAATTACCTTTTGATACACCTGAAGAGAAAATAATTTTTTAAATTTTGAGGTTAATCGCAAATCATCATGAATAGTGATCCAAAGGAATATTAATATACACTTTAGTGTGCATCATGTTTAAGTTCAGTTCCAGTTTGTTTTCTGTTATTTCAATAAACCATTTGTAGAAGCATCCACTTAATTTTATGTATAATAAATACCTATACCATAATGCAATTATCTTTTTATTTGTGGTAAAAAAGAGAATGAATTTTCTGTCAGTTCTGAATGATCATTTCTTAAACCTGGCTATTGGATAAATGTATATTTGTTATCTTCACTTTAACGTGACTGCCAGACATATGGACATCTTGGTTTTCAATATAATCTAACTGTCAGACAAATATACATTTGTGTTATTCAGTTATTAACCCTATTACTATGGGTCAATGAGAGAAGAGATAATTGTTTACTTTACTTCTTTATTTTCTGTTCTGTGTTTTAAGAATAATAAGTTTAAGAACTTATTTGTAAATAGTAATAATGTCTTATAACAGAAATGTGAGTGCATTTTACAAAATTCTAGTTCACTAAAACATAGCCTAATACAGGTCACTTTGTAAAGGCCAGTTTTATATTCGTGGATATGGTAACATGAGTGCATGTGTGCTGCATCATTGCAACTTCTAAATGTAAGCCAGGCATGGCTGGAAGGTCAATATAATAAAAATAATATGTATAATGTTATGAGATTTAAGTTATTTAGACTAAACATTTGTGTTATGATTTATAGTCATTCTACAACAAAAACTACCCTGTATAGCTAAGGTAGATAAAATAACAGACAAAATATAAAATTTTACTGAAAACAAATGTTTGAAATGTATATAGGAGGTTTTAGAGAATACACAAATAATATTTGAAATTTTTGGGATGGAGAATAGTTTTTAATCATACGTGAAAAACACTTCATACTCAGACTATTAAAGAAACAGACTTGATATTTTCACAAACAAATCTTTAGTAAAAATCACTTTGATTTTCTGTGTGCAAAATACTTGTAATCATTACTAAAAGTCTATCTATTTTTATAAAGATACATAAATAGCATTAAAAAGTTACAGTATAAATACTTAACATGGGCAGATGTGTATACGAACTTGTCTATTTTATACCGAGCATGTCGCAAAAGGGTTAACCTGACAGGCAAATGTTCATCCTTATCCTTCAAATAAGATTGCTAAAATGCAAATTTTACCAGTATTTTTCATTATGATTTAGCTGTCAGGTAAATTTACATCAGTATTCTTCATTCTAACAAGGCTTTCAGACAAATATACATTGGTAGTTTCAACTTAGACTAACTGTCAAATAGCAGTACATTTATATTCATCACTTTAATGTCACTGTTAAACAAATGTGTATGTGTGTTGTTTATTGAATATGATTATCAGACAAATGTACATCTTTCATACAAATGTATGTTGATATGATTAACTTTATTGGGCTGTCAGCGAAATGTGACATTGAGTTCTTCACTTTAATTGGCTTTCAAGGCAAATGCACATCTGTTGTTTTCAATTTGTTTGTGCTTGCAAGAAAAAGTACTTCACTGCCTTCATTTCAATATGTGGAACCAATCATGGCATAGTAGTTATTATGTATTAATTGTTAATCCAAGGGTTCATGATTCATACCTTTTAACCACAGAAATTTATCCTGCACTTCAGGCTATAGGTGCACAATAAGAGTGACAGTCAAATCCCAATATTCTGACAGATAAGAGTAATCCATGAGTTGACAGTGAGTGCTGTTGACTCACTACCATCTCTCAGTTCCAAATTAGAAATAGCTATATGCATATAGTCTTTTGTGTAGCTTTGCACAAAAATTCTGAAACAATTAAATTAATTTTCCTTTAAGACAAATATATATTGTTATGTCTCCGTTCGTTAGTTGATTTTCTACGATACAAGTCCTTTCTTTATAAAACTTGTTTATTCTTCCTCAATACAACTTTGTAATGTACTTCATTTTCACAGTTACACACACTATAGTTCACAACAATTCACTCACTTTCTATCG